CCTTATAGGAAGGGCAGGTCTTCCTATAAGGAAGGCCTTTCCGTCCCAAACCAGAGTCGCGCAGGAAATTGTTTTTTTTTTTTAATGTTTATTTATTTTTGAGAGAGAGAGAGAGAGAGAGAGAGAGAGAGAGAGAGAGAGAGAACAGGGGAGGGGCAGAGAGACAGGGAGACACAGAATCTGAAGGACACTCCAGGCTCTGAGCTGTCAGCATGGCTCGAGCTCATGAACCATGAGATCATGACCTGAGCCGAAGTCAGAAGTTTAACCAACTGAGCCATCCACGCGCCCCATGTGGGAAATTTTCTAAGTAAACACAGTGCTCGTTAATTTTTTTTTTTTTAATCAAAAAAACTCCTGTCAGAGTTTGCTTTGCCCGGGGACCTTGATGGTGTTGCCAGAAAATGATGGGCAAGGATGCTCCCATTTGGCAAAGAGGCAGTTAGCTGGGCAGGGTGATTGGGAAGAGCATACAGAACACCCACTTGCCTTCCAAAACCTAACGTCAATGCTAAAGTGCCTGAAGTTATCAACCCCTGGCCTTGGCCTTGTCAATATCTCCAAGCCACATGGGGCAAATTAACTTCTCTTAGCCTCTAAGATTCTAACTCTGATGTCACTTCTGATCACTAAGTGAGAATCTGGGACCAATTACAATGTGCCTCAGGAGGTTTCTCCCCACACCACCAACCAGTTCTCAAACGCCAGCTGGGTATCCTACAATTCAACTTAACTCTGACACCATCTACCTGGAGACGGCTTGGATCCCGCAGGTTAAGGGCTCGTCCTACAAGATTGCCACCCTGCCCCCACCTTCAGATGCTGGTCACAAGTCCTGGTTATTTGTCACCTGTGCTTCTGATCGACCATCTGCAGATTAGAGATTCCAACAATCCCCCTCCTTGGGTTTGATTAATTTGCCAGACTGGCTCACTCCAAAGTGAGTGGTTTATTACAAAGCCTATAACTCAGGAACAGCCAGATGGCAAGATGTGTAGGGCAAGGTACAAGGCAAAGTTAGAGCCCAGAGCTTCCGATACTTTCTCGGACCAAGCCACTCTCCCCCAACCCCCATGTGCCCACCAACCCAGAAGTTCTCTGAACCCCATCTCCTTGGCTATTTCTGGAGGTTTCATCACACAGGCATGGCTGATTAAATCACTGGCCACTGGCAGTTGAACTCAACCTCCAGCCCTTCTCCCCTCCCCAGAGGTTGAGGGGTAGGACTGAATGTTCCAACCCCCCAGTGATGTGCTTTGTTGCCTGGCAACCAGCCCCCATCCTTAGGTGCAACCCCAGAGCCGCCTCATTCACATAACAGGAGACACCTTTATTTCTCTCCTCACTTAGGAAATTCCAAAAGAGCTGGCATTTCGGAGAAAGACCACATGTATATTTCTGTTCATAAATCACAATATCACAGCCTCTGTTTCCTCATTTGTCAAGCAGGGATAGGGATGCCAACCTTATGAGGATTACGTTCCACTTGCTTTTCCCAGACCCCTCTCCTGCTCTTCGCAAAAAACAAACAAAAACAAAACAAAACAAAACAAAACAAAACAAACAAAAAAAACCAACCAAACAAACAAACAAAAAAAAACAAAACAAAGGTCAGGTGCCCCTTCGGACCTGATTTTCCTTCTCTTTGCAGATGCTTTGTCTCAGCAGAACATGGGGCACCAACGCAGAGCCCAGAAAAAGAGATCACTGCAGATGGCAAAGTGCCTTGCCCCCGCTTCCCCTACGAATTTAAGAGCTATGCCGGCTGCCGTCGTCTCTACCAGAATCCATTCACCCATCTCTGAGTGTGATAAGGGCGTCCTAAACCTTCAGTTCAGGCAGCAGCTTGGTGCTTCCCTCTTGATCCCGGAATACGACTTTCTCCCCACTTTTTCAAAGAGCTGAGGGAGACCGCGCTAACTGGGGCTGCCTCTCTCCCAGCCCAGCTGGACAGCTGGGAAAGAGCGTGAGTTTCCTGCCTGTGCCCCCGTCACCTTCCAAACCCCTGGCATCAATGGGATGTGAGCGCTGTTGCTGTCCCTCAGGAAACAGTCTTCCAGCCTCAAGCATGATTTATTAATTTCACTGCTTTGGCGGGGTCATTTATCAAAATTCCCTCAACAGTTCAATTAGGAACGGCCTGCCTCCCAAATTGGGGTTGGTTTTCTCATCTCCCCTAGCCAGCTTGTGGTCTACATCACTGCCCTGACCACCCTTGGTTTGGGGAGCACCACGAGAAATAAATCACACCGCCCACATACCGACTTCACAATTTTTGCTGCACGACAGCACCACCGAGGAGATGGGGCAGATATATATTTTCCCTGTTGTTCGGTGCCTAATTGTTGCTTCTACAGAACCCAGGGGTGAGACTTCATCCTTCCATCCATCCTACCACCCTAACAGCACGTGTTCCCCACCGCCCTTGGGGAACCAGGGGTGGTGAGACCTTTCTGCTGGCTCAAGCTCCCATCATCCCTCTTGTTGGTTTCTTGTGACTTTGCCTCTCACGTCCATCTCTCTCCCTCAGACCTGGATTTCCATACGGCAGCAAGAGGCATGATTCCAAAATGCAAATATGATCTCACAGCAATCCTGCTTAAAACCAGCCGTGGCTCCCCACTAACCTGATGAGAAAACCCGAACTCATGGGTTTTCTCATGGCGGTCAACCCCTTGGAGTCTAAACCCACCATATCCGCAGTTCCCAGAACAGGGCATATGGCCCAGAGGGCATTCATAGACTGAATAGCCTGGCCGTTGCTCTTCCCAGCCTCACCTCCTCTCTCTTATTCTCAGCAACACCAACTGTTTATATTTATAGTCTCTCCCACAAACCACACTGGTTCCCACCCACTCCCCCTTTCTCATAAAAGTAACCTCCCTGCCTGAAGCATTCCTACCCCCTCATGAGCCAGCATCTGTTCAACCCTGCATTTCCACCCATCACCTCCTTTTGGGAGCTTTCCCTCAACATCCCTCCCCCCGCAACCACCACCATATTGAACTAGAGACCCCTCCTTCCACAACACCCTGGGCACAACCTGATGAAATAGGATCACAAGGACTGGAGGGAACCATCGTGCCTTACTCCCTTCTGTTTCCCCAGCACCTAACATGTAACCCAGGTTCCTAGCACTGGCCGCCAAATGCATCCCGAGCTCCCACAGTACTTCTCCATGTTTCTTAGTTGCCACGTCAATGCTCTGCTTCTGAAGAAATGGTCAAAGACAAGAGTTTCCTCTCAAGCTCTTTCTATTTCTATTTTCCTCCAAAGGGCAGCCTGTGGCTTTCTATGTCATAGATTTCTTTCTCAGAAGAAACATGAAGCATTTTCCCCAGAAAACGAAAACCCTATGAAATGCCCCCACCCCCGCCCCTCCACTGACCACACGTGGTGTCAAACATGTTTCATTACCCTCCCACCTCAGAGTGAATGCCCGTCCATTCCCTCCTACCTGTAGGACAGGTAGCCCCCTAGAAAATCTGGATGTCACCTCCAAAGTTCCCCAAACCCCTTCCCCTGGGGGTCTAGGTAAGAGTCTTACACAAACAGGTCTCTGGCTGATACGTCCCCAAATCCCCACCATGCAAATTAAGCGCCCACTGTGACCCTCGTTAGAATAATAACAATACTGAACACTCCCGTGGTGTTAGAGTCTTAGTTCACTCATGCTTTCAAAAACTATTGAATGTTCCCCAAGCAAGGCATGGGTCTTGGCAATGGAGAATCAGCAATTAAACAAGTCAGCAGGTGTGGGCTCATGGGCTGCTGTGAACTGGTTTTGAATCCTTGGTCTGGAAGTAACTCGTAACCAACCTTACCCTGACCCTTTCAATCTGTTAGCCAATTCAGATTCTTTGACCTGACCCTGTGTGCCGCCATGTAGACAAAGTTCCTGTGCTTGGACGCTAGTTCCATCCACGGTGGTTAATTTCCCCCGTGCCATCTAGACTAGCCCCATAAACCCTACTTGACAACACTGACCCTGGCAGTAAGTGAAAAGAGAGCAAATCTCCAAGGAATTATGACATGAATTCCCCATAATTAAGTAATCAGTTGTGTATTTTCTTTTTAAATCCCCGTGTTCTCTGCTTGAGGGCAGAGGCCACCCATGTCTGTCCTATCTCCCATCAGAGCCCGGCGCTGCACAACTGGGTCTTCAGCAAACACGTACTGAGTGATGAATAAATAAGCAAAGAAATGCATCCCTACATTACAGGGTCCTCAGCCCAAGCTAGACTCTGACGCAGCCCTTCTCCACGGTTTTATTCCGTTTTGACCCTAACAGCAAAGATCCCCAGAACTTTATTCATTGCGAAGCAAGCAATTGGGCTGGTGCAAGCAGCAATGGCCTGTGTGCTGGTAATGCCATTGCACGTTGATGGACTTCCACGGTAATTCAACATTATTATGTGTCAAATATAATTTATGGTTTAATACAATGCCAGTTTTATAACTGCATTATTGCTATATATTTACATCTGGAAAAAAATAAATCACACTGAAATTTTCCACTTTGAAGGACTTCATCTGGGATTAACTGCTGTGCCAACCAAGGCTGCGTTTTCTTGAGCTAAAATTTGGGGGTAGCTCCAGGCCTTGAAAAGAACCAAAGTCAGCTCATTGCTTCCAGATTGCATCCATTTTTTTGGAAACGGTTCAGCATGCTTTTGTCTTAAATTTCCCAAACGTGCACTGGACGCCTACCCCTTGCTTTTAGGAACTCAGGAGCCCCCGGGAAGTCTGAAACTCTACCCAGTGAGAGAAACCGTCCCTCTTAGTGCTATAAAACATTAAAGAAATGCCCCACACACTACATAAATGGCCTCTTATCACTTACACTTGTCCGTTACCTAGGGTGATATGGTTGTTTTGTTGGTTTTTCAGCCAACAATTTAGCAGAAAGTCTTCTATTGCAATAAATATAGATCTATATTATCTTAACACAGGTATCTGATTTACATACATGTTATAATTGATACAAATCCTTACCTCACTTGTAGCCATTTGAGGTTGCTTCTTATCTCTCATCATAAACAACACTGCCAAGAACATCTTCAGACAGTCATTTGCACACTCGTGCAATTTTTATGTCATTGAGGAAAATCCCTAAATAAATTACAGGATCGCAGGATTAAAAACATTTTTTTTTAATAATGAAGAAAAATAACAACGTTCCCTCCAGCAGCCTTGATGATGGACACAAACGCTTCCACTCAGCTCCTGACACCCACTCAGACGTCACCTGTGCTGATTTCCCTTCTGCTACACCATTAGCAGAATCAAGAGAGGAGACTCACTATCACCGCTCGGCTCCCTCATTACCTTATAAACCTTTTCTGTGCCACTATTACACTACAGTGTAAATTAGACACGTATGCATCCATTCACACTAGTGGATTATAATCGTGTACGACAGGTGTTCGACCTGCCCTGTCCCATTTCTCTATATAATCCCAATGTCAGACACATGAGAGGTATTGTGCACATATGCACTGAATCAAAATGCAGTTAGGGAATTACTGGAAAGGCTACCAAGTTTTAAGTTTTTAATTCATGGTCTTATGGGCTATAGGAAAACCCTCTGAAAAGTTACAAAAGGTCTTAAATGTAGATTCCCCTCTGGAATAATTTCTGTGTGTGTGTGTGTGTGTGTGTGTGTTTCATTACTGGGTGAATTGTATCCTCCCTTCCTTCTCCTTCCTGTTCTCCCTCTTACCAGAGGTGCCTTTGAGAACTGGTCACCTGGCTTCTTGAAATGGGACAGCCACTCACTCTCAGAACAAAGGAGACTCAGAAGGTTCTCTGTCTTGGAAAGGCTCCCCCCAGGTAGCCTTACACTGTAGGGGGCCCCTGAGATTGCACTTACTGAGCTGCTTGTGTGGGTGGTGGAGACACTGAACCTAGACACAAATTTGCCTTTGTTGAACCCAGTGCTTCCGCCAAAACCCCGGTCCCTGGACTTACAGAACAAGATCCGGTGCTCAAAGGCAACTCACTGGATTTTTTTTTTTAAGTTTATTTTGAGAGACAGAGAGAGAGAGAGAGAGTGTCCGTGTGTGCGTTTGTGTGTGTGTGTTTGTGTGTGTGTGTGTGTGTGTGTGTGTGTGTGTGTGTGCACGTGCACGAGTAGAGCAGGGGCAGAGAGAGAGAGAGAGAGAGAGAGAGAGAGAGAGAGAAAGAGAAAATCCCAAGCAGGCTCCAACGTGGGGCTCGAATTCACGAACCGTGAGATCATGACCTGAGCCGAAATCAAAAGGTGGATGCTTAACTGACTGAGCCCCCACTCACCTGATATTATGAGCCAGCTTAATGCTCCTTGGGCTGGACTGCACCACTGAAAAATTTCCACGTCCTTTTCTTCACAATATCACAGACTTCCTTCTAGAAAGAAATGCACTGTGTCAGTTGGGGCAGGTTGTTGTAACAAAAATGCCATAGACTGGATGGCTTGAACAACAGAAATGTATTTCTCACAAGGTGCTGGCAGACCCATTGTCTGGTGAGAGCCCACACCCTGGTCTGCAGTTAGCTGTCCTCTTGCTGTACTCACCCATGGTGGGGAGCCTAGAGAGGAAGCAGGCCTTCCGGTCTTTTCTTATAAGGGCACGAATTGCATCATTACCGTCCTCATAACCTGACCACCCCCAAAGTCCCCACCCCCTAATACCATCACACTGAGGGTTAGGATTTCAGCATACGAATTCTGCAGGAACATAAACATATGGTTCGCAACATGCACTTCACCAAATATATAATAAAAACCTTCTAGCTGTCCCTTCATGATCTCAACTAGTAAAAAAAACAAACAAACAAAAAAAAAAAACACCACATCTTTGGGAAGGTAGTTGATGGCTTCTCCACTTTGCAATAACCATTAAGCCTTTCTTCCCTATCCCAAATGTGCCCTGTTATTATTTCTACCTGTTTTATTGTTGATGATGACCATCAACTAGATGCAATGTAAACAGACCACCTTACTTTGAAACAATATACACAAAAATCTCCCACTGGGAGAAATGCAGAACTTTACTTAGAATCCTGGAACTGGGGAGTCAGTAAAGACAAGAAACCATCTGAAGCAACATCATACTTTTTGCACAAGGAGTCAGGATCAGAGAGGGAAAAGGGTGGGTTTGGGGACACACAGCATCGGCCCAACGGAGGCTGTATCCCAAGTCCCCCTTACAAGGCAGCACTTATGATCCTTCTTTGTCTCATCTCTTTGATAGACATATAATTGCCATAACTAATTGGAAAAGGCATCAGCCTCGCTTTATGATGACACAGGGTGGAAAGGAAACTCGTTGTCACTGCACAATTTATGAGGTCGTTGTTAGATTCATTACTGGAAGATCACTGGGTGTAATTAGTGACCCAAATCCAAGTAGATAAAACAGTTTGGCCCTTGTTTAAAATCTTGTCTTAAAATTGAGTAATTTCCCCTACTCTAGACATAGTGCCTTTGAGGGTCATATTTAATGATCATACATCCCAGTGTGAAGTGACCCCAGGAGAACAAGAGACGACTTTGTAAATTGCACTCTGACTAATTTGCCCATCAGCTGGCATTTTCTCAGCCACCTTCACATTATTTTATGAGACTTTAGTATGATTCTTATATTTATTCAATATTTTTCTCTAACTAAAATGTTTTTTGATATACAACTCATGCCTGGGACATAGCATTTGATCAATAAATGTTTGTTGGAACTCTTTGAACAAAACCATCTGGGTAGTATCTACTCTAACCTTGACAGCAAGGTTGAGTGGTGGTGGATAGAGCAAACTTTAAATTCCCTATTTTGCATGAAAACATGGATTGAAGACTCCTTGGATTCCTGGACGCTTAAATCCTCATTCTCAGACTTTCGCTCTAGCTTCCAGTCTCCTTTCCTTGTTTCCTCCTGGGTAGAGACATTGAGTTCAGGCTACTGAATCTCAGGAAGAAAAAAAAAAACACGTGAAATAGTACTTTCTCTAAAGAAAGAACTAAGATCCCTTGCAGGTGACGTCCTTCTGAACAATGGGAAACTTTCTAAGATAATGTCAATGGTCAAGCCATCTGAAATGAAAGATCCTGACATGGTCTCTCCCCAAAACAATCTACAAGAAAGACTGCAAATGGTCTTCTGGAGATGTTGAGGAGACACTGGGGGTAGTCACAAACTTGTAAGGTTTTAGAGTTGAGGAGAGTTGAGGATCTAGAAGTGGCTCCCATCTTCTCAGGGGTTAGGCGAGAACCCTGAGGTCCAGAGAAGTTCAGCGACTTAGAAAAGTCGCACAGTGAGTTAGTGTCCGAGCTGGATTAGAACCCAGTTGTGGGACATCCTTCGTTAATACACCCTCTCCTCTTCCTCAGATGTATGTCTGGACCAGGGTTTCTCAACCTCAGCACTATTGACATCTGAGGCTGGACCATTCTTTCTTGAGAGAGGCCACTCTTTGCACTACAGGATGGTTAGCAGTATCCCTGGCTTGCACCCACTAGATGCCAATGGCACTAGTACCTCAAGGTGTGGCAAGAAAAATGGCTTCCAGACAACACCAAGAGTCCTTTGGCATAGGGGAGAGGGGCAGGTGTTGCAAAACTGCCCCCAGTTGAAAACCACTGGGACAGCTCCAGATAGGGCTGGACTCCCTAGGGCACTCCCCTTGTCTCTGGCCACCATCTTTCCTTAAGGCCATTCTTCTAAGTGGGGTAATCATTGTCTAAGAGTTGCAAAGTAAATCTACTCTGGTTGGTTCCATTGGACTCTTCTAGAAATAACAGAGCTGGTTCACAATAGAGAAATAGCCTGACCACTCACCCAAACAGGGCCTGGTATTTTCAGGTCCAAAACTCACCTGAGAGGGGACCCAAAGGCACCTAAGTCTCCCCATGACCAGATTCTTAAAGGTTCAATGTAGAAGCCAGATGTCAGTGTATTCTTGCATAAGGACAAATAAAAGCCTTCCATGCCTCACCCCTGAATGCTGATTAATGAGTAAAATACTAAATCAGACATTTATTCAACAAACATGGAATCCAAGAGGGACTGATTTCTTAAAGTAATCTTAGATGTTATTTTAGTTTTTTTTTTTTTTTAACATTTATTCATTTATGAGAGACAGAGAACACAAGCAGGATAGGGGCAGAGAGAGAAGGAGACACAGAATTGAAGCAGGCTCCAGGCTCCAAGCTGTCAGCACAGAGCCCAATGAGGGGCTCGAACTCACAAGCTGTGAGATCATGACCTGAGCCGAAGTCATACGCTTAACTGACTGAGCCACCCAGGCGCCCCTCTTAGATGTTATTTTTAAATAACATCTTAGTGATATTGAACTATGACAGCTTGCTATCTCCGTCTTCAGTCTAAAGATCTCCCAATGCATGGCCCCAACATCCCTCCTTTCATTTCTTTACTACATGTGTGTTTAACTCTTATTGGATATAGTAAAGCAATATGGTCATCCACAAGACAGCCATGTTCTTTGACCTCGTGATTCAATCAACTTCGGTCAATTTGACCAGCAAAAGTTCTCAGATCCTCTCATCTTCCCCATCTCCACTGTCTTTATCCTTAACAGCATCATCTCTCACCTGGTATAGATGCCTCCACTCTCCTTCTCCAATCTCCCCTCAAGCCAGGCCCTAAAGAACCAGCACAAAGATTTTTCTGCAGTGTGTTCCTGGAAACATCACTGTTTCCAACCAACAGGTGGCTTCTCGTTGCTTCTATAAAGGCCTGACTTCTAAGATTTAGTACACTTTGTTCCACCATCCTCAAACACCTTTCGCTGCTCTCTGACTCACAACCTTCTAGACTTTGAGGCTGTTTGGCATCACTTGCCCCTCCACTAGTTTCATGAACCCTTCAGGCTTGCTTATGTGTCTTTCCAAATACAGTACCTGGGGCTCACCTCTAATATAACATGCATCACACAGACACATATTCCCCAGGCTGAACGCAATGAGTGGCTCTTCCCAAGAAAGCAGATCTATACACAATCTTTGGTAAAGAACCATGAGTTGGTCATCTAAAATAAAGTCCGGGAAATAGGAGTTTGTTTTACAAGTGTCCACACCCACCTTTCTATTTCTTCTTTGTTGGGCCCAAGATTTGTCCCTTTCTTAGAAGACCCGACTAGTGAGGCTCTTTGCAGAAGTCAATGTGGAAGGACTTAGCACTCGTTACTACCGCTGTCTCCGTCAGGAATTCACCACACATCAGATGTGGGCCGTTGCTTGCAAGCCATGGTTCCATTCAGGGAAACCAGAGAACCTAAAAATAGGAAAAGAGGGACCAACTCAGGTTCGAACAAGAATCTCTTGAGCGTCCATTTAGAGCAACAGAGTAGACAGTGTTCTAGTTACCTACATGGGGAAAATCAAAAGGGGAGTGGGCTTGAGAACAGGCGTTAGTCTCCATACACTTTATATATATTTTTATATATATATTTTTAAGTGTGTTGTGTTAAATCGCTGATATATGCCTCTGCTGGCTGCCCAAAAGTCTCTGACCACCTGAAGGGTGGAACTCGCAATCCATTCTCCAACCTCACATCCAGTCGTGATGCCTCCGTAGTAGTACCCAGACCCAGTGTGCACCGAGGTTTGGAAAAAAATTCATTAGGATGCCATGCTCACACATGTCTAGTCCACTGTAGTTGGGTCTGGGTTTGCCTGTGGGGGCCTCGTATTTATTGTACTCATCGTTCTGTTTCGGTCTGAGAAATGTCACCCCGGAATGCCTCTTACAAGTTCCTCTTCATAGAATGATAGTCTTTACAAGGGCTCACACTGTACCAGGTGATTATTCTTCACAGGAATGCTCATCAATAATATGCTACAGTTCCTTCCCGAACACAGATGTCTGGTAAATATTACATGTTTATCCATACTGAGGGAGGGGAGTAAACAATGAGGGTCCTCATGAGGAGCTCTCCTCGAGAATCACACTCACTTTGGGGCGCTGGGACTAGGGTGCTCAGCAGAGGGGAAGTAGGGAGGAAGAGGTCCATGGCATGGCAGCTCGAGTCTGGTGTGATTCTGACCACCACTTACTAGCTATATGACATGAAATGAATACACTTATGAACCTTCATTTTCTCATCTATAAATTGGGGATAACAATAGTACCTAGCACACAGTAAGTGCTCAAATGCTAGTTGTGCTTTTCATTAGGAGAGAGGACACAGACTGTGATCTAAGACACTGGGTCTCCTCATTGCATTTTCTGAAATAAAAGATTTCTATGTTTCCCAATTCTGACTTACAGCATGAAGAGGAGAGAGAGAAAGCACCAAAAAGAAATGGCTAATGAGGCCTTCTCTTTATGGAAAAAGGATGAAGATTGGCAAAACACCCTCCCTTTAAAAAAAAAAAAAAAAAAAAGATGGTGAATCCTAGCTACTCTATTTACTGTGTGGCCTTAGTAAGGATACTGGACCTCTCTTATCTCTAGTTTCCTTGCTTTTAAATGGAGGATGAAAATATCTACTTCACAGGAATGAGATGGAGATTCAACAAGGGCACAGATTCAACACAATGCAGGCACAGAATAGTGTGCAAATAAATCGTAGCGAAAATGTAGGATTCTACAATCCTGACCCACGGTAGCCCTGTCTGCTATGTGATCAAAGAGAAAGCAAATATACATTCTGTAAAAGAGGAAGGATGGATGGATGGATGGATGGATAGACAGATAGATAGATTCTTATCAGGTAGAGATGCTTTCCCTTCCCCTCCCTCTCTCTCTCTAAATACACACACACACACACACACACACACACACACACACACACACAGGATGGATGGATGGATGGATGAAGAGATGGATAGACAGAGAGAGAGAGAGAGAGATAATAGAAGGGTAAGGAGAGATGTTATCTGTATCCGCATAACAAATTATCCTAAAACGTAGTGGCTTAACACAACAATCATTTGTTTTCTCCATCTTTGTCAGTCAGGAATCAGAGTGCAATTCACCTGGGTGCCTCTGCCTCAAGATCTCTCACGAGGCTTCAATCAATGTGTTGGCTTGGGCTGCAATCTCATCCGAAGGCCCAACCAAGGGAGGATCCACTCCCAAACTCTCTAACATGGTTGCTGCCAGGACTCGGTCTGTTATGGATTGTTGGACTGAGGCCATGAGCTCCTTGTTGGCTGTTAGCTAGGCCCACCGCCAGTTCCTAGCCACCTGGCCCTCTCCACAGAGCAGCTGAGAGCCTGGCAGGCTGTCTCCATCCCAGTGGACAAGGGACAAACTATGAAAAAACACGGGATGGAAGCCAGTCTGTGTGTAAACTGTTCTTAGCAGTAACAGTCCCTCCCTTCTGCCCTATTCCACTGGTGAGTCACAAGGTCCAGTACATACTCAAGGGGAGGGAGATCAGTGGGGAACAACTTAATGGCTGCTCACTACTATCCCAGGGAATATGAAAAAGCCTCCATTACTCTATCAAAGCCCCTGGACCCACATGTTGACAGGGGGCAGCTCATTCTTCTGTATCTTCCCATTTTAAATGCATATTTGACTTTTTCCCACCCATGCTCATTTCCTGTGCTTTTGGGTGAGGTCTGTGAGGCAGGATCGGGACAGTGTGCTTGGCGGAAAATAAAGGAAGGCAGTGAGCTTTGAATGATTAGGAAGGGAGAGGCAAGCCCTTAGCTGTCCTTATAATACCTGAGCATTTCACATTGCACATTTTCTCCATGCACAGCTGCAAGACAGAGTTACCACTTTGGAAAATTAAATTTCATAGAAAGTTGGCCATGGTTCCACTTCCCTCTCCCTATGGAAGCAAAAGATGGAAAGATCTCTGACTTGTCACAACTGCCAAATCATTTGGGGGCATTATTTTGAAGGAGCCTGAGTCCCTTCTCTGGAGAGATTCCCTAATAGAAGGCCTTAAAAGCAGCTGAAATGAGGTTAAAAGCTTTTGAGAGTAAGTGATAAAATATCCACGTGATCTGTATAAGACGGAAATAAAGACACACACAGAGAGACACAAACAAATAGACAGAAATTAGATGCTTCTCAGAAATTAGGGAGGATGCTTTCTAGAGGGTACAGTCTCCTGCTGAAGAGAGGATTTAGTATCCTGACCTGCCAGCAGCCGTGTTGGATGGATTCCTCCATTAGTTTATTGGAATGCTCATAAAATAAAGGTTAGCCCCATCCTAAGGATATCTTCCACCTTTTCCAAACCATACTATCAAGTTGTATTAGCTCCTTGGGTTAAGCCACCATAACAAAGAGAATGTGTGCTAATGTGACTTGCCCGGAGTTAAGCTCATTTAAAAATCTAGAATACCATGGAGAAAGTTCCCCGGGCTAAGATAAGTTTAATGAGTCTAAATCTCAGCAATGAACTCACCTCCAAAGTTTCTGAAATACTTAGCCCTGGGAAGGGCATCATTTGTTTATTCGATGCAGAAAGTCCAGTCTCCACCCCCATCTCAGTAATGAGGGCGCTTGAGAATTAAAAGACAGAATGAAGAATTTGTATTAACTTTCTCAGTGCTGTGTGATTGGAAGGTGAGCCTCCATATACACTCAAAGATACTTATATACCCATTCTGCCCAATGCAGAGGGTTGGAGAGCTTCGTCTTTCAGCTTCGTGTACAGCCAGTGTTCTGATCAGCCCATCGTCACTCCCTCCTGTTCGTAACAGCGCCCAAATCTTTCAGGAACCACACTGTGGATATCCCACATTGTCCTTGGGAAGCTGTTAATCATGGCGTCCTTTCCTGCCCTTCCCCAACTAAAGGGTGGTCATGTGACTCAGGCTGACCAGTTGGAGGACTCCTTCATCCAGACGGTTTGGATCCAGAAAGAGGATAACTCAGGTCAATTAGTCTTCTTTAAATTTTGATGTGTGGGTAGTGTGGGCCGAAAGTTCTTTCCTTTTGGATTTTGAGCCAAGAAAATGTAGGATTATGGCTATCAGCAGCCCTTTTTACTGCCATGTGAGGAGGGGAGGCCTGAAAAAAATAGCCACAGAACACTGAAACGAAAAAATCAGAGCCCCGAGGAATACTGTCTAAGCCCCTGTACAGCCCCAGACTTCCCAAATAATGGTCAGAGATTTGTGTCACTAGCCATGAAAAGCATCCTGACCAAAGCTATGATAAATACTGGAGCCATTATAAAGCGTTAAGCACTGACGATACCAAGAAAAAGGCCATGATATTTTGTCTTGAACGTGTCCTCAGTCAAGGATTTATGGTGAGTGGTTCAAAACACGAACACCAGAATCAAAGAGACCTGCATTTGAATTCCAGTTTCACCATCTCCTACTTCTGTGTCAGTGGTAGGCAGAATTCTAAGGTAGCCTGGAGATTTATCCTGCACTCACCCTGGGTACGTGCTCTGCGTTAGACCCTTCCCCTTTATGTGGGCAGGGCACATGAATATGAGGAGGTCTCGCTCCAATGATTAGGTCACATTATATGGCAGAGGTGAGGGGATTTTGAAGGTTCAGGTGAGATTCTAAGTCAATTGGCTTCGAGCTCATCAAAAGGGAGACTGTCCTGGTGAGCCTGGCCTAATCAGGTGAGGGTGCCTTAAAAAGAGATTGGACCCTTCTGTAGAGAGAAGCATTCTCTTGCCTGCCTTAAACAATCAAGAGCTATGCTTTGAACTGCTTACAAGGAGAGGCTGCCTCTGGGAGGCCTCAGACCCAGACTATAAAGAACAAGATTCTTCCAACCTTTCAGGAGAGTTTGGAAGAGAACCCTGAGACACAGATACAAGAATGCAGCCCTGATCAACACTTCAATGGCAAACTTCTAAAACCCTACTTGGAGAACCCAGCTAAGCCTTTCCCAGATTCCTGACCCACAGAAACTGTAAAATAATAAATGTGTGTTGTGTTAAACCATGAAATTTGTGATGTGTGTTATGCGGCAGTAGAAAAGCAATACAATGTCTGCTCAAAACAAAGCTTTCTGACCCTGAATTTCTTGGTCTAATAAACGATAATTGTAGAAACACCTACTTTTATTGGCTCTTGTCAATATTAATTGGCAATTCCTATGTAATTCACTGCTTGATCTATGGTTCAATACCTATTAATTGCTAGCTTACCTCCTCACATGTTAAGTGTGTGTGCCCATATGGGGTACTTCCATCACCAAACACCCAAACATCAGGAAGGTCATCAATCTGTAAGGTCATCCTATCTATCTTCTTGCTTTTATAGCAAGGGAAGCAAGGTCCAGAAAGGGACAGTGACTGGCCCCAGACCACAAACCTTGTTAGCAGCTTCAATAAGGACTTCTGGCTCTCAGCCAGGTTCTGCCTGAGTTGCCCCCCTTCCAAAAAAGGAGGCTCTTTTGCCATACTTGATACAAACATTCCTACAAGGTCAAATTGTTTGAAGGACCCAAAGCTTTTATCTCCTGTATTTTGTTATCTATTGCTATGCAACAAGTTATCCTAAAACTTAGAAGTGAAGAATGGAAACATTTATTTTGACTTATTTAAATTTTAGCTATTTAACATACAAGACAATACTGGATTCAGGAGTAGAATTCAGTGATTCATCACTTACATTCAACACCCAGTGCTCATCACAACAAGTGCCCTCCTTAGTACCCATCACCCACTGAACACATCTCCCACCCACCTCCTTCCATCAGCCCTCATTAAGAGTCCCTTGTGGTTTCTTTCCCCTTCTTCTTTGCCCCCCACCCCATCCCATATGTTCTTCTGCTTTGTGTCTTAAATTCCACATAGGAGTGAAATCATATGGTATCTTTCTTTCTCTGGCTGACTTATTTTGCTTAGCATAATACATTCTAGCTCCATCCACATGATGGCAAATGGCAAGATGTCATTCTTTTCGGTGACTGGTAATACTCTATAACATTCCATGGAGTAATATTTGACTGATGAACGGATAAAGAGGATGTGGTGTATGTATAGACAGTAAACACATATTATCTCATTGTTTCTGAGGGTCAAGAAGCTTGGTGTAGCTTACCTGGCTGCCTCTAGTTGAGATGTCACATGGGGTTGCCCCTAACCCGTGGACAGGGGCGACACTCATCCGAAGGCCTGACTGAGGCTGGTGTCCATGTCAAGCTCACTCACCTGCTGGAAAGGGGCTCCAGTTCCTTGCCACATGGGTCTCTTCAGGAAGCTGCTTGCAAGCCAGAAGCCAGTTTCGCTCTGAGTGAGGGATCTGAGACAGAGAGCATTACCACGATGAAAGCTGCGACATCTTTTAGAAATTAATGTTGAAGTACTGCATCATCACCTCCGCCCGAGTGCCACTGGCCACAAAGATCAACCATAGTACAAAGTGAGAGGGCGCTCCACCAGCGTGTCATTGCAGAAGATGCCATCACTGGGGGCCGTCTCAGGGGCTGGCTTCACGTCTTTCTGTAATGCCTAAATAGCCACACCACTGCCGGGGGAGATGGGATGACTTCGTCCCAGCCCTTGTGGTTAATAGAAATATAAATACCGTGACAGTGGAACCCCTGCCAAATAGCACATGAAAATGGCATTTGAAAAGTGCAATTAGTACTCTTTTTCCCGAGAAGGTCTGCTCTGTTTAATGATCTACATATCAGTGCGTTCCAAGCAGAGGTATTAAATGTCTTAGAATACATTACAACATTACAGCATCTTCAAAAGATATCAGCAAAATGACCATTACTTGAATTGGCTATAAGCAAAGCCTCAGAAGGTCCAGGTGGCCTTGAAATGCAGAGCCGCACTGTGGCAAGAAGGAAGGGCTATGGAAGTCTGGCTTCTAGAAGTCTACATCCCTTGTTATTAACAGGCTCTGCACTCACGTTGTGACCACAGCCCAGCTCCCAGGCTCCCCCAGCAGACCCCTGTGCCCTGTACAGATGAAACGTTGTTTTGCAAGAACAGAATGACCACAGGTGGGGTATGGGCAGGCTTGTCCCAATATGGTGACCTCGGTGTGGACATTGCATCACATCCCTGACTTTGTCCCCCTGTCTGTTCTGCAAACTGGCCACGTAAATTGTCCTGAAATCTAAATCTACTCATGTCACCTCCCTGCTTTTTAAAAAGATTTTGGAGGTGTCTCCTGGCTTCTGGGGAGGGGGGACGTATGAAATACGTAGCTAAAAAAACCAAATTCTGGCTCTAATGCTTCTCTCCATCCTTCTCTGGGTGACAGTTACCCTGAAGTCTCTCGATGTCCACGCTCCTTTTGCCTCTGGACCTTCCCCACTACTCCTGCTTGGTGGCCCACTCCACCCTGCTCCCCCCCCCCCACCTTCACCTCCCTGAACCCCATACCTCCCCTTACTCAGTCCCATGACAGCTTACACTCTCCCTCAGAGAACTTGCAACAATAGCAGATAAGCATTTAATTGTATTGTTAGTTATTTGTTATCTGTTCCCTGCTTTTAAACTATAGCCGCCCCAAGAGGGGTAATAGTATCTGTCTTGCCCCACTGCTGTATCCCCAGTGCCCAGGACAGTGCCTGGCACATGTGGATGCCCCAAAATATTTGTTAAATGAATAAAGATGGAGAAACATAAGCTAGATCAGTTATTACCAACCACCGCCCATGGACCAAACCCAGTCTACCGCCATTTTTACAAATAAAGTTTTATTAGAACACAGCCATACCCACTTGTGTTTGCCCATCTTCTGTGGCTGCTTGCTTTCTTTTCCTTCCTTCCTTCCTTCCTTCCTTCCTTCCTTCCTTCCTTCCCTCCCTCCTTTCTTTCTTTCTTTCTTTCTTTCTTTCTTTCTTTCTTTCTTTCAGAGAGAGAGCTCAAGCAGGGGAGGGGCAGAGAGAGAGGAAGAGAGAGAATCCAAAGTAGGCTCACACTGTCAGCACAGAGCCCGACATGGGACTCGGACCCATGACTGTGAGAACATGACCTGAGCCGAAAACAAGAGTCAGATGCTTAACAGACTGAGCCACCCATTCTGTGGCTGCTTTCGTGCTACAAAGGCAGAGATGAGGAACTGCCCCAAAATCATCTGGTCCATGAGGCAAAAATATTTACAATCTCACCCTCTGCAGAAAAGTCTGCTAACTGCCAGACTAGATTCCAATCTCTCAAGAGGTAACAGGAAAACCGGAAAGTTTTATGAGGAATAAATGCAATTTCCTCCCAGGCCCATCCTCCATCCAACAAGATGGTGTAGATAGGAATGGAGCTGTGTTTTGGAAACTTCAGGAACTCAAGGTGTGGAGTGCCTGAAAGGAAGCTCTTGGACAGGGCCCAGCAGGCACTACTGATCATGCTGCAGTTAGAACCGAACATAATGAGCCAAGGCATTGATTGAGGCATAAGTGATGGCAAATACAAACGTGATGACCAGAGGTGACAGTGTTCATGGTCAAAGTCAGAGGCTGAGCTCTGGCGTTGTCACAAGCACCATGGAGGAGGAAGGGCCTTGGCTTCTTGTCATTCTTGGTCTTAATCGGCTGTAATGGATGTGTCACCTTCCAGGGCCAGGTGGACCCACAGCATGCTGTGATTGATCATCGGTGCCATCTGAGTTTCTCAGCAACCTCGGCCTATTCATTCTGTACTAAACGGACAAGGGTTCATTGACATCCATGAATGAATTCATCGATGTGCGGAGCAAAGTGTCAACCCAATGGGGCAAGGTAGACCAAGAGGCATTTGAGAGCTCAGGTAAGCAGCTGGGGTCTGGGCAATGGCATGGAGAGTCCAGCCTGGGCTGGAAACTACTGGCAGGGACTATAATGTGCACAAATACATTGTGGAGGGGCAAAGACCATGAGAACAGTACCAGGGAAGAGTTGGCACTTGGGGCAAGGCCTCTAAAAACAAGGTCTGTGGAATGTCAGCCTTAGGCTCACAGAGCTTATAAAAACTGAGACTTCTGGAACCACTGAACCAGAATCTCTTGGGGGAATCTGGAAATCTATATTTTTAACAAAGATCCCAAGTGATTTTTGTGCCCGAGAATTTGAAATCTACTGAACTAAGGCAGTAAGATTCCTGTCTACTTTGGTTCATACTACCTAGACTCAGAGCCAATGGGTGAGGAAGGAGGAAGAGGTAAGTCAACACTTCTCGTTAGAACAAAAGGGGTAATTCTGGGATCTTGCACTAAAGCACACAAGTTTTCTTATGTACTCCTCTTGAAAAGCCATGATGTGCTTGAATGAGCTGATCTGGCCATCTGTGGTCCACTCAAAAGCATTACCTTACTTAACTATTGCACCAACCCAAAGTCAGTGATAGAGAAGGCTAGACTAAAGCAGGGAAATAATATGCAAGAATCAAAATCTGGTAATGACAGAGCTGGCCTCCCCTCTTCCCTTCCTCCCTCCTTCCCTTCCTCCCTCTTCTCCTTCTTTCGTTCCTTCATCAGAGTGGGTCAACAGAATGTCTTAGGTCTGATCACTAGGAGGCAGACTGTGAACCAAGGATTCGAGTGCAAGTAATTCCTCAAGGAAGGGGTCCAGGAGCAACCAATAAGGAAGTAGAGATGTTAGCACAGGGAAGAGAAAGCAGGTAACCAAGGGCAGTTACAGGTGAAGCTCCAAATGCACCCTGAACCCACGGCCATCTCTGGGCTGAAAATTATCTCCAGGCCTTGATGGAAAGACACCAGACTTTTGTACTTGCCCATCAGTCATTGGCAGCTGCCGTTGGGATGAGAGGCAAAACTCCCAGACATCTCCAGCTTTCAGAATAAAATCTTAAGAAATACCAGCATCCAAGGGCATTGTTCCAGAAGTCAACCATTTTGGAGCAATTTCACACTTCCCAGCCTGAAGCTCCGTCCCAGCCCTTGTCTGTGTTCATGTTGGTGTCAGGGCCCCCAGGATGACATCTATCATAGGACTTGTGATGATATTAAAGTAGAGAAAACTTATGGGCCAACAAGGGCATCTTTTATCACCCCACATCCTTTCTCTTCCTTTTGCCAAGGCTGTGTTTTTTTTCCTGTAAGCAGGAAGGTTTGAATGCCCACCAGCTGCATACAAATTCTCCCTGTGTTCCTTGCTTAATCTACCTCCAGCTCAATTTTTTTTAGGAACTTCCTGCTGACTCCCCATCACCTTCTTGCTTCAAGTTTTTTAGGGCCTTGATGGAAACTCTGGTCTGCAAAAATTATTCACCTTGGGGCTGTCAAATACAAAATGCACCAGACAATTAACGAGAAGATTTCATGCAGGCTACTACAACAGGAAGATAATTCAGTAATAAGGATGTCTCAGTGGAAAGGAAGAGCGTTTGAGGTGGGTTTGGAAGTCATTTGGTGGGAGGGTTGGAAGGCATTTCACAAGTCTTGGGGGAATCATGAAAAGGTATAGAGACCCTCATATCTGGGTCACTGAGGAAAGCGGAGGTGGGTCTTATGTTGGAATATGTAAGAGGGAGGGCGGTACTTTGTGATAAGCCATTTCCCTGGAAAACAAAAACATAAGGATGGTTTTTTTTCTAATTTTTTTTATGTTTATTTATTTTTGAGACAGAGGGAGAGACAGTGCGTGAGCAGGGTAGGGGCAGAGAGAGAGGGAGACACAGAATCCGAAGTGGACTCCAGGCTCTGAGCTGTCAGCAGAGAGCCCGACATGAAGCTTGAACTCACAGACTGCAAGATCATGACCTGAGACGGTCAGATGCTCAGCCAACTGAGCCACCCAGGCGCCCCAAGATAAGGATGTTTCTTAAGCCTCACTGTTTTGGGGCACCTGGGTGGCTCAGTCAGTTAAGCTAACTCAGCTCAGTTAGTTTAGCTAACTCAGTCAGCTAAATCTCCAAGGCATGTTGAAGAGAGGGAGTTTCTGTGATTCACGGACACCTGAGCCAAAGCTCTGTCCTTTGAGAGGAGCTGGGGTCATCACTTGATATTTTCCCCCAGACTCCTGTCTTTGTGAGGATGACCTCCCCAAAGTTCAATAGCTTTGGGCTTGGTTACTACTGGTCTACCTCACAGCTACAGAAGACCATGGCTAAAGGGAAAGTAACCCAGCACAGGAAGAGAGAAAGCACATGCACAAAGTCAAGCGCGGCCACCGTGCAGAACAGCTGCTGAAATCAGGCGGCCATGAGCTTGGACTCTGACTTCCCTAAGCAGAAACCGTGACTTCTCACATATGGCGGGTCCGTGCCCTCTTACAACTTCTCAGCAATCTTTGCAAGGAATGCCTCTGTTATCTGTAGGCTAAAATGGTAGGAACAGAATGAACACTGGACCCAACTTAGTGTAACAGGCATACAGCCACCCTCCACTTGCCAGGGAATGGGTGCCATCGACCTGCTCCTGCGGGCTAGTCTTCATCATCCTATTGTTTGTCTCCTGCCCATTCAGGGTCACAAACTCAGCTTCCTAATCCAACAGCATGGACTTGTATAGCAGTCTAGATTTTACCCCACATTTCATCACATTTGATCCTCACAGTGAGGGAGGGAGCATCTATCCCACTGTACCTATTTTTTTGAAGTTTGCTTATCTTGAGAGAGAGCGTGCAAGTGGGGGAGGGGCAGAGAAAAAGAGAGAGGGAAAGAGAGAGAGAGAGAGAGAGAGAGAGAGAGAGAGAGTTCCGCACCATCAGTGCGGAGCCTGACGCAGGGCTCAAACCCACAAACTGTGAGACCACTACCCCAGTCAAAATCGGATGCTCAACAGACCAAGCCACCCAGAAGCCCCTCCACTACATCTATTTTTAAAGAAGAAAGCCAAGAATGGAAAACGACTTGCCCAGTGTCACACTGCTGGTAAGTAGCAGAGTTAGAGAAACCCTAGTCTCCTGGGTGACATTCCCGACATCGTTTCTCATCTCTGCCAAGTTCCTCCCCTGCGTTATTTGCATTAATAAGTGGGACTTGGAGACAGAAACAATCTTTTCCCTAATCGTGGACTTCAGCTACTCCTCGAGAGATGTATTCTATGTTTCCCCAATTACTTCACCTCTGGAGACAAAGAATATGCTCCATTGGGGTTTTTCTAACCAGGATGATGCCCTTATCTGGCAAGGATGCTGCCCACGGAGAGATCTTTCCATTTTCCCCCAAAGGTGACAGAGAGAGAGAGAGAGAGAGAGAGAGAGAGAGAGAAGCTTTTAATTCTGTTTTCATTTAAATAGCCACGGGAATTGGGAACTCAAGATAACCAATCAGTTATTTGCTAGTGGAATTTTCCTGGTAAGGAGAGAGAGCACTTAGACCCAAAATGTATACATTTCTTCCAAAATGTCATTCAACATCTATCTCTTTCCCAGATAGTGACAAACGTTCCGTGTTCCTGTCAAAATGCCAGCTTTCAGCACCAGCCTTAATAATAAAAGCCAGATCCAAAATCCAACAGAGAAATTGCAACTTTGCCAGCAAAGAGTTTATCATCCCGTTTTATTTTAAGGTGCCAGGGTTACTTTTTTTTTTTTTTTAATTTCCTTTCTGTTTTCTCTTAATTAAAAAAAAATCATCAGTCTATTCCTTTCATTTGATGTCCTTCCTGAGAACCTTTCACTAATACATGGGGTTTTTTTTTCCCTAAAATATGATTGTGGGATGTCTCAAAATAATTTGCTTAAAAAATACCCACACAGACATCACTTGCGGTTCTAATTTGGCTAAAGCTGCTAACAACTGTGTGACACTAAATAATAAACAGTATGTAAAAATAGAGAATTGCCCTTATTTATTTTGCAAGACTGATTTTCCCCTGATTTTTCTTTCCTCTCCTTCACCAGCAGCCCCACACCGAACACACACACATATACACACACATCTATCTGAGGAGACAGGGGGAACTTATAGCCCAGAAGCATGGCCAGGTTATCCTGTAAGTAGGTATCCTGTGAATAAGATACAGATTTATCCACCTTGTATTTGCACATCTCTGCAGACACTCTGGGGATCACAGTAATGAGACGCACTAGCCTGAATCCAAGGGAGGGCCTCAGGATACAGTGACGACCCAGAAAGGTCAGGAACACTAACCGTAGGGGCTGAGATGTTGGGGGAAAGAGACCTCTATAGAGGACTTACTACGGGATTGTTATGTCCTACGCACCATCCTGAATGCTTTACACAAATTCTCCCATTATAGCCCCCCACAAACCACCATGAGATGGCTATTAATGTTATCCCCATTCTACAGATAGGAAAACTGAGGCTGATGGAGGGCAAGGGACTTGCCAAAGTCATCCAGCCATAGGTGACAGAGCCATCTGGGGTAATCTGACTCCAGAGTGCAAGTTCTGAAGAGTCCAGAAGGCTCCAGAACATTCTGTGCATATTGCATTGTCATTCAGAGACCTCTGTTCTCTCCCTGTCATCCTGGGGCAGCCCTCCTAGCCCCACCAGGACTCCAGAAATCCAGAAATCGTGCTCTGGAGAGACGTCTGAGCCATGGTCGGGGCTGCCTCACCCCTCCTTCTTCCCCCATCAGACATCAATGACGAAGGGCTGTCTCTGGGACTGTGGCCACAACTCTCTTCCTGTGGCTCCTTTTGGTCACCGAGCCCTGTTGTCCTGTTTCTTGGCAACTTTGCCTCTTTGTAGTGTCCAAGTGTTAATTGCTTAACGCCAGAGATTGTGCAGCTGTTGTCATGGTACCTCCTTGGCCCCTTCCCACCAGCATCTAAGACACACGCAGCAATTCTGGCCTCTAGAAATCTCCCACCTGGGCCCATCTGTGGTTCCTTTGGCCCAGCCCCAAACTCACTTTTTGGCCATCTTTCCTACCAAACACGGCCCCACCTAGGGTCGGAAACATGTTTATGATGCCTGGGCCAGGAACCACACTCTGCAATTTGTAAGCAGTGCGCTCAGTTGCCCCCAACCACCCTTTGATGTGAGGACTGCCATTATCCCCCCTCTACAGATGGAGAAATGGACCGGAGGTAAGTGACAGAGCAAGGACCTGACCCCAGCACTATCAGACTAATGAGCCCATGTTCTTACCACTATGCTAAACAAATAGTTACAGCAGTGTCAATAATAACAGGGACAAAATAAGCTTCTGAAAAAGAGGGAAAAATCCACAAAATTCATTCAACTCTCTGCGAGCAGGTAAACTCCAAGAGGGAAGGGGACTTGTCTCAGATACCAGAACAGGATTCAGCGCACGGCAGATGTTTCGTCAAGAGCTTTGAATAAATGCATGAATGAATGGTGGGTGGACTCACCTGGTTCATTTGTTCTTTCAACACACAGACCACGTGTCAGGCTGGAGGCTAGAAGCTGGGGTTACAGAGATGAGCAGAGTATGTTTCCATCCCGCAAAGAGCTCAGGGTCCAATGTCGGGGACAGGCACATCTGGTACAGGTTCCTGGGCGAGAAGGAAGCCCAGAGAGATGTTCACCTTATATATCTACGTCACCACACCAGGCTCTTTGCAATCACAACAGGCCAGGTCTCTCACTCAAGCTGTGGGGTAGCAAAGGTCGTCATTCCCCTGAGGAAGTTTATCCTTCCTGTCATCACGGACTGAGGGGCAAAGACGGACTCCAGGAATCCCAAAGCACAGGGTCCCGCATCCGAGGATGCTGTACCGGGTTCACCTGTATGGCGAATAGCTGTATGCGCCAGATGTAATGAATCTGGTAGATTGCTGCTTACAGGCGGCCCAAAATTATTCAATGGCTAGCGCAGGGAGCAGCTGATAAACAGCCAGACTGTGAGAGTATGTCAGGGCTTTGCCTCCTTACAAATTACATAAGTATGGGCAAATTAGCATAGATGAGGAATCGATACACACAGTCCCTGGATCTTTCTTTTTCTGCAAGTACCTGCATGGGAAGAACTTAGAATAGGCAACAGGCCATCCTCTTCTGGAATATGCTGGAATACGGAGGAAGGTGGCTGAAAGCGGGCACCTCCAGTTTACAAATTATTGGAAAGGGGAGATGCTGCCTGGGTTGGAGATGGGGCGGTGGGGGCAAAAGAAGTACTCGGTGCCGTGAGCCCCAAAATAGCCCTTATCATTAGCCTTGGACTCAGACATCTCTTCACTGAGATGTCTGTTCACTCACCTGTTCAACACATAGTTATGTTTTCTGAGCACTTCTTGGGTCCCATGCACTGTTCTCCATGTCGGGGGCACAGGAGTAAATGCCTCTGGGGACTTACATTCTGCTGGGGGAGACAGACAATAAAAATAAAAATAAACAGGGGAGCCTGGGTGGCTGAGTCGGTTAGAGGTACGACTTTGGCTCAGGTCATGATCTCGCGGTTCATGAGTTTAAGCCCCGGGTCGGGCTCTGTGTTGACAGCTCAGACTGGAGCCTGCTTCGGATTCTGAGTCTCCCTCGCTCTGCCCCTCCCCGACTTGTGCATGTGATCGCTCTCTTGCTCTCTCTCTCAAAAAATGAATAAACATTTAAAATTTTTTTTAAATAATGAAATAAAACAAAAATAAACATATAACAAAAGCAAGACCAGCAGGGGGCGATACACACTGTGTAGAAAGCTAAAAAGGATGCTGGGATAGAAGTCACAGGACGGAGGTGGGATGCCATTCTGATTAGAGGGTTCACGGAAGTGACTTGTGGGGGTGACGTGTGAGCCGAGAGCTCACCCTCCCGACCTGCACTGTCCGCACGGGTACCCACCGAGCGCTTGAACTATGGCCAGTCCGAAGAGAGCTTGCCATCAGCATAGAGTCCACACCAGAAGACCTAGTACAAGAGAAAGAGGTAAAATATGTAATTAATCCTTTTTACAATATTGATCAGATGTTATGATGATAATATTTGGGGCAATGGGGATTAAAGAAAATTAATTTCGTATTTCTTTTTATTTTTTAACGTGGCTACCAAAAAATTTAAAATTTCCCACGGGGCATCCATTCATGGATGGCTCTGCTCCCGACAGAAAGAAAGGAAAAACAAGAGCAAAGGTTCGAAGCGTTGGGGCAGTGGGACATGTCTTTGTCCTCGATCTACCGCTCGTTGGCTATGTGAACTTGGGAGGTTCAGAGCATCCTTGGTGCTGAAAGGGGTGTTAATCACACTTTCCTCCTGTGGGCAATGGCAGGAATGCATGAGATAAGGAGTTTACATTAAGGATTTCTTCTCGACTGCCTGCCATGTGGGAATGGAACAGAGCAGGTATGCTGGTGGCCCATGTGGCCATGGACATAACCCTTCCCTTCTGGAGATTCAGGAGAGCAAGGCTGAAATAATCTACTGGGCTTTCCTGGCTGTCAGCCTTCCTCTGCCTCCACCGTCTGTCTGTCCCGAGACCCCAGCACAGGCCCTGGGCCTCGCCTCCAATCCCAGCACCCCCTTTTTCAGCTGCTGTGGTTCTTTCTAGGTATGAGCTCATTGGAAAAAACAAGAGCCAGTTTTCATCACAGAAACTTGGGAGATTTTACTATCATATCGATGTCTGGCTGGGAGCAGGATGAGCTTGTCCAGCCTCACTTGAAATTGGCTTTTCTGAAGCAGGCTTCTAAAGGAAGAAAGGATCATTCCACCGGATGGACTTCAGGATACCTCTCCAGCAGGGGCGGAGGTGGGGGCAGGGGACAGGGGACAGTGGCCCTCCAGAACCTCCCCTCCCGGGTCTCTCCCCAGCTCGCTCTGTTGGAGGGCTCCCACTGTGGATGGCAAGTGGCAATGGGGCGACATGGGGCTAAGAACCACTGGTTGAGGCGGACGGGGTCGTTGGGAGCTTTCAGTGAGGTTATTGAAGCTGCTTTAATGCACAGCAGGTACTCAACACATTCTGTTTCTCTGTTCTTTTACCACTCTCTTCTCCATTTCCTGTGGCTTGGGAAGAAGGGGAGGCCCATCCCATGTCTCCGCTTCTGTCCTGAGAGAATCAACGTAATTCTCCTCTAGAGCCCAGTGGGCTCTTGGAATTGAAGACAGCATGGTGGGCTCTTGGAATTGAAGACAGCATGGTGGGCTCTTACCCAAACCCACTTCTGGGCTCCAGTGGTCATCTATGGGCAGCACACTCTATCCTGTCCTTTGTAGACATGATCTATTTCTCCATTTGACAGGAGAGGAAAGTAAGTCTCAGACTTCATGAGACTTGACAAGGCCCTGTGAACAGCTACCTGGCAAAACCAGGACTCCAAAGCCAGCATTCCCAATACTCCATTCCTACCTCCCAGGACCATCCCAGAATCACCCCAGAACAGCAGGTGGCCTGTCCTCTGCTTAAAAACTCCAGCGATGGTAAGCTCACTACCTCACAAGACACCTACCAGCTAGCACTTACTGTGCATGAATTGGATCCCACACTCTGTTCCAAGGGCTCCGGTTACTCAACTTATCCTGATTCTACTCCTGTGAGGCAGGTACTGTTGCTTCCTTCTTTCCAAGGGGAAGATATCGAAGTCTCCTCTGTTCACTGACTTGTCCGCAAGATAATAAATGACAGACCAAGAGCTAACAAATACCAAAGCCCAGACCCTCCGTCCTTCTGAGGAATTTCATGACCTATATGCCTAGGGGGACCCAGGAGAGTCCAGTGGGTCCAGTGGGCACGGCAACTGGGCATCTCCACCACTCACGAGAGACCATCACCAATGCCTACAGGTGGGAGGGCATGTTTCCAATGGCCGTCATCCTAAAGACGCCTCAGACCCTCTGTACACAAGACAAACCCCTGCCTAGAATGAAAGCTGTCTGTGAATGACCCATCAGCATTCCTTAAGAAGGCCATGCTGCTCTATTCACGATCGCCTCCTACCGTATGTGATAAGCTGTGACGTATGGTGTTCATTTACTCTACTGTTCCCGCAGAAATATGGCGGGCACAATCAATTTCCTTGTTTGTTCTCTGACCCACTGTTCTTGGGTTAAGCAGCCTGCTTTGTCTACATTTGTCAGCTGATACAAGCTTCTCCCTGCCATAGGCACTGCTATTGATGAACATCGTCAGAATACGGAGCCTTGAATAATGTATAAAGGATTCAACATGCAAAGTGTCCCTAGGAAAGGGAGGGGGGTTGGAGGTGGGGAGAGAGAGTGTTATATGTTTTCTCTGTTGGAGCGCCTTCATTTACAAAGCATATTTGTCAAGTCTTTTGCTAAGAGTAATGCCACGGAACAGCCTCCCATCATTCTTGTTAATGGGACTGTCTGTGTGTTACAGTAAACAGCTATAACTCTTCTGCTAGAGCCATTGTACAAAAGGCAGAGTTTTTCAGCATCCAATTAAGGGTGTCTCCAATTTGCCAGCCAGCATCATGAGTGCTGTGGCTCAGCCATCAGGCAACCTGGGCACTGTGAGGCTTCTCAGAGGACAGAGGGAGCTGGGAGGGCTGGGCTGCCCTGCCTACACTCAGCCAAGGGGTCTGGAACTCAGCTCTCGTCCTGGACAACCCTTGCTACCCTTCAAAGGCTACCACGTCATACCAGCTGAGTGTTCAAAGATGTCGGCCTGGTATGCCAGGTCTTTCCCAGACTCTTACAAAGACAGGAGAACACACGAGCTCTGGGACACATCCACATGCGTTCCAATCTCAGCTCAGCGACACGCTAGCTGTGGGACCTTGGGCAAGTTACTTGACTTCTCTGAGCCTTGGTCTCCAATGTGTAAAAGGGGACGAATCACAACACTTGCTTTAGAGGGTTGTTTTGAGAATCAAGTGAGACTAGGTGATGCACAGTCACACGGCCATTGTCAATCAGCATCATCACCCCTAGCCTCGGACATGGCTTTTTCCTCACCTGTCTGTGCCTAGTAGATCAGTATGCATTTTTCACGTTTCACCTCCTGACAACTGCACTCAACAGACACTCGTCTCCGTTAAGATTCCCAGTAGGGAGGGAGCTGCCATGAACCAGGTCCACACATCTCTCCCATGACTACCTTCTGGGTAGGTTCTACAGCCCCATTTCACAGATGAGAACACTGAAGCTTGGAGAGTTGCAATCGCTCCCTGAAGGCTTCATGGCTCTCAGGTGACAGAGTAAGAGCTAGACACCCAGCCTGCCTGGATCCAGAGTCCTGTGCTCCCCACTTCTCTCAGGTCTAGCCATGATCCCAGCCCAGGGTCAGGCCTCCCCACCTGGCCCTAATTACAAGCTTTTCGGACCATATTCCCACATGCGTGGGTCTCAAGGAAGCGTCTAAAGTCCTTAGAACCGCAGAATGTCTCCGTTTTATTCTTGCATGTATTTATTTTTTAAATGTGTGAGATGCTAAGAACTTAAGCTTGTCATTCATTTCATGTGCCTGCATTTTGTGGTCTGAGAAGCAAGGGTCTGGTTTCAGGAGCTCACCCAAGGCCACCCAAGGCATAGAGTGTGTGGCAAAATCAGGGTTAGAACCCGGATCCCCTGATCTGTAATCCACCCCAACCAGGCAGACACATGATCTTTCCAAGATGTCTATTCACTGGCTCTGGTTTTCGTGCCTTGCGGGAGGAGGATGGAAGGGTCTTCAGTCACCTGCCTCCCGTCCTGGTCTGCATCCCTCCCCCTACAGTCCTGCTGCCTCCTCGGTGTCACTTTGTCCAGAGAGATGGAGAGTGGCTTAAGCCTTCCTCCAAGAGGAAAGCTTTCATATCCACTCGCTCGGTCCCCAGCAAACCATCTGAGCATCAGCTGTGCTCCCCATCTCGTGCTGGGAGCTGGGGAGCTGGTGATGGGCAAGACACGGACTTCATTTGCAAGGTTCTCCTACAACACTGGGGAAGAAGGAACAGTAACCAGGTGCACACAGAGGGGCTGAGGGACGCGTGCTGCAATCATGACTCGGTGGCATGCGTCCAGTGCTCGGTTTTGCATGGTGCTCTTCTAAGTGTTATGAAAACATTAACCCATTTACTCCCCCAAACCACAGACAAGTGGTTTACCACTTCTTTGATCACCTAAAGCACAGAAAGGCTCTTAAAGTGTTCCTTAGTTGATGGAAACACATGCAAAGGGCAATAGAACCATAAAAGAGCGTCCAAATTTGGGAGAGATTTCCAGACAAGACCTGGTCGTGGAGGAGATGATTCTTCTTAAAAGGGAAGTGGTTCCCCCAAAGATGGTTGCACATTGTGAGCAGAAGCCCAGATGAGGACGTGCAGGCACAGGTCTAAGACACTGGGGCACGAGAGAGCGTGACTTGCTTGCGGAACCAAAGTAAGGCTCTTGTGCTCTAGGGGGGGGCCTCTTCCGAGGCAGGAACAGACCGAGGACATCTCTCAATGTCCCCTTCCTCAAGGCCGTTTGTCCCTTAAGCGATTTCACTGAGCACTCACCGTGCGCCAGGTTGTGAGATGACAGAGGTAAATAAGACCCAGCATGTACCCACAAAGGGCTCCCCGTTCAGAAGGACAGGCAGACTATTTTAAGGATTGCATTGCAAAGACAATGCTTGACACTAGCCTGGGGCACTACGGAGTGTGGGTGACAAGCGCTGAACGTGGTTCCTGTGCTGCATCTCACAGTGTGATGAGGAAGAAGCCAGGTGTTCCCTGCGTTTGAGGTCAAGGGGCAGCAGCAGCAGAAGACGTGTCAAAGGAGCACACAGCGTGAGCAAACATTCGCGGACAGGAAGTTAGCTGTCGTGTGCAGCATCCTTGGCTGTTACAACAGCCATCCTTCCCTTGGCGGGTGTCCAGGCATCAGCCCACCAGGTGTTCTGGGAAGATAGTCCCCGCCCTCGGATATGAACCATAATCTGTCTCGACCAATCACGGTCATGTCAGTGATTGGTGTAGGCATGT